TTGTTGCATGTGTGTGTATGTGTGTGTGCGCGCGCTTGGCATTATGATATTGCCAGAGCTCCCATGCTGTCTCCCATTATGCTCTGATCCTGTCCCATGGTGCACTGCAGCCATCCAGGGTTCAGTGATGGTAGGGGGGACAGCTGGGAATTATTGGAACTAAATAGGCCAATTTGATTGGCTGTGCTACTCCAGCCAGCGCAATGCGATTGGCCCAGCAGATTTTATGTAGTAAATTTGATGCTTTTTCTTCTGTATCAGAGTGGGAGAGGGGGAGAGAGAAAGTGAGAGAGGGGAAAGGATGAATGGATGCGGAAGGGAGAGATCTCTCTGGGTGGTTTGTACCAGCTTTGATCACTCCACTAGGACTTGACAAGCTGACTGACTGCCACACTCACACACACTGAACACACACACAGCAAGATATTTCTGTGGTCCAACAATGCTGCATTCTGTCTGCATTCTCGGCGTGTGTGCTAAGGCGTGCGTGTGTGTGTGCTCGGACAGGCCTTCACGGGAGTGTGTGAAAGGAAGTCTTTGACAGTGTCTGGGGTTGTTTTGTATAGAAGACCCTCCTGCTGCTAGCAGCAGCCTAGTGATGGCAGATTTCCCTCACCCTCTCTGCCTTCTTTTTTTTAATATATATATTTTATCCTTGCTTACTCATCCGTATACTTCATAGACTCTTAACTTTAAGTGTGACCAGTGATGAGACATTTTTCCACCCACCTCTCTATCCTTTCAGTCTGCATCCTCTGTTAGCTGCTGAATGGATTTTACTGACCTTTTTCTCCTTGCCTGTGGCCTTGTATGTTCATCCATTCACTCTGTAGATTTGATGTTAGACTGTGAAAATGCTGGACCTTGTCTGTCCACCTACCGTTTTGTGCATTTCATATATGGTTTACTTGGAACACATAGCAATTACAGCTCGGCCTATTTCAAGAATCAAGAGCCTGAACGTGGGTTGTTTGTGTAGCGACGGAGAAGTTTGCAATCATGTTTTTCTTTGTGGAAAGCAGAGATGAAATCTAGTTTTGAAGGCTTTTGAAAGTGTGGTTTTCAAATGGCTATGTCGACAAACTGCGTCACACTGCTTGCACCATTTGCTATCTCTGTCTCTGCAGGGGAAAACCCAGGATGGAACATAAGAATGCGTCCCTCTGTGTGTTGTGTGTGTGTGTGTGAGAGTGCATGCATGTTTACTAGAAAGACAGGCTTGAGCTGGAGAGAAAAAGGAAAAAGAGAAAGGAGAAGCTAAATGTTCTGAAACTGATTCCCAGCGTCTCCTGCTGTTAGGCCTAATTCCTTCTAGAGTTTCATGTAAAGATCTGGAATTATGAATTTTTCATGGCCTGCGAAACCTAAGGCCTCATTTGAGGCTCTCGTTTCCAGGCTTTTTGTTTTAGTTAGTTGTGTGTGTGTCTGTGTGTGGGGCGGGTGTTGAGAGAATGCCGTTTGTTCCCAATCAATGGCCTACTATATAGTTCCCACTGGCCCTGTGTATCTTCCGCTGCAAAAAATGATAACCTTATTTCAATGTTTTTAATCACAGATTTAGATGACAACT